GCTCGCCTTGAGCTGAAGAGCTGAGGGACAGCGCCCAGGCCCAGAGTTCAAGCCCCACGACTGACAAAAAAAAAGACAAAGAAAATCAGTCTTTTCGCCTCAGTTTCACCCCAAGCAAATTGTGAGCACTTTGGGAACCTTGCTCAGGCCAGGGTCAGGCCGGGCGGAGAGCTGGAGGCCCCTTCCTCACCCAGCAGCAGTGGAGGCCGCGGCCTTGTCTGGGAGCCGCCCCGCCAACTGGGTGTGCCGCCCCCAGCCCTAAGGGAGTGGGGCAGGCATAGCCTGGGTCCCTGCGCCCCCTGGCGGCTGATCTTTAGACTGCAGGCCGTGAAAGGAAGCCTTTGCCAGAGGGCTTGGAGTCAATTAACAGAACAGCAGGGGAATCTGGAGCAAACACCCAAGAACCGGGTCTGCCCAAAGTCTCCAAGACTCCACTGGTGATCCACATTCTTTTTTCTTGTGGGTCCTGGGGCTCAAACTCCAAGCTTGGGCGCTGCTCAAGGATAGTGCTCTACCACTTAAGCCACAGCGCCACTCTGGTTTTCTAGTGGTTAACTGGAAGAGTCTCATGGACTTTCCTGCCAGGGCTGGCTTTGAACTGTGATCCTTGGATCCCAGCTTCCTGAGTGGCTAGCATTACAGAAGTGAGCCACCGCCACCCAGCTGCTCCATTCTTTTCTTTGGGATCCTAATTCCTGCCTTTCCTCCAAAAGAGGCCTACATACCCAGCCACAACCCAGCTGATACTGGGTTTAACTCAGGGCCTGGACGCTGTTCCTTGGCTTTTTCGGCTCAAGGCCTGAGCTCTACCACGGGAGCTATAGGATTCCACTTCCAGCTTTTGCTTTTCCTTGGCTGGTCCGGGGACTTGAACTCAGAGTCTGGCAATTAATTGTTCCTTAGCCTTTTTTGCTCAAGGCTAGCATTCTACCATTCAAGCCACAGCTCCACGTCTGACTTTTTGGAAGTTCGCTGCAGATAGAAGAGTCTCTCAGACTTTCCCACCCAAGCTGTCTTCAAACGACAATCCTCAGATTTCAGCGTCCTGACTAGCTAGGATTACAGGCATGAGCTACTGGTGCTTGGCAATAGAACATTCTTGGGATGGGGTGCTGAGAATGAGGCATTAACTAAGGACCGGCTGGGGGGTGAGGGAGCTTCGCAGAATAGCATGGGAAAGGGTGCACAGTGGATCCGCAGCTGCTTCTACGGCAGTGAGGAAGCCATCCAGCCAAACTGGCCTTCCCTAGCTTCCAGATGCCATTTCAATTTGGGGCAGGGCAGCTCTGAGGTCTCTAGTACCTGTCCTCCTGATCCAACTAGTGACGGGACGGGGCCTCTTCAGAGAGAATAAAGCAGACCAAAGTGTCACAGCCATTTTCACACTGTTGTTTCAAACTGTCACGGCCACACGCTCAAGCCTCTCCCGAGACAAGTCCAGCCACGGAACCTGACCAAAAAGCCTTCCTTGTCCCGGAGGTAGCAGAGATCCTGGCTCTGCTGGTGCCCACCCAGGGCTCAGGGCACCACGCCATGCAGCCGCCCCACCTCCACGAAGGCTTCCACACAGCGGTCAATGTCCTCCTCAGTGTGCACAGTTGAGATTTGTACCCGGATTCGGGCCTTGCCCTTTGGGACCACCGGGTAGCTAAATCCAATGACAAAGATACCTGGGAAGGTAGATAGCAAGGGCATACCAGGGTCAGGAGGCTGCGGCTGGCCGTGTGACACATTAACACCAACTTTCCCTGCAGGGGGCAAGGGGGGGCTGCCCAGGATCTTACAGGGTGGGGGCGGGGTGTCTCACAGTGCAAGAGTCAAGACACACGGCTGATGTGGGAGAGGCAGTAGTCCTGGGGGAGGAACCACCTACACTTTACAGGTTTCCCTTTGGGCCCCACTGGTCCCCTTACCTCTCTTTAACATGTCATCCGCCATGCCGGAAGCCAGTCGAGCATCCCCCAGCATGACAGGGCAGATGGGGTGATCGGCTCCCGCGATGGTAAAGCCGGCAGCCTGCATCTTACTACGGAACCTGTGGACACAGCTGCGTGTCTCACACGGCCTTGCTATCTGTGTCAGCTGGGCATGTGGCCCAGGAGCCATGTCCAATCAAGACAAAGATAGAGGCCCTCCCCCGCAGAGGCCACCAGGTCGGGGACAGGCAGAACAAAGAGAGGTCTAAAGGTAGGACTGACAAGAGAGGGCAGAGAGGAAGAAGGGACAGAGGCAGAGACAAGAGAGAGGAAGGTAAGTATAGAGTAGATAACTCTATATAACTGGGCAGGCCCTCAGCATTTACCCCACCCCTCAGCCTATCCCATCCCTGCTGGGAACAGCACCGGTGCGTTTTGGCAGCAATAGACGGGATGAGAGTGCTGTTGTCGTCCATGAGCAGATCCAAAGCCTTGGAGGCGCAGCCAACAACAGCAGGTGGCAGGCTGTTGGAGAACAGATAGGGCCGGGCACGCTGCCGGAGGAGGGACACCAGGGCCTCAGGCCCTGTGGTGTAGCCCCCTGAGAACACAGGGAGAGGGGACAGTTGGTCAGGAGCCAGAGCCTTCCAGTCCCCGCAGCCACTTCCCTCAGCCCATGTGCCCTCCTGCGCTCCCCAGGGCCACGGGGATGGATAGAGGACCCCTGGTACCGGGTACCTGCTGCTCCCCCCAGCGCCTTCCCCAGAGTGGAGTTGATGACGGTGACCTGGTCCATCACGCCCAGCAGCTCATCTGTGCCCCTGCAAGGGAAGTGACCACTGCTGTCCCTGGCTCCAGGGCCAGGGGCAGGTGGGGCCGGGCTCTCCCTGTTTCCCAGCCACCCTGGGGAGCCCCACCCAAGCCTCAGGGGGCCACGTGCTCCCACCGTCCTGTGGGCCCCAGGAAGCCAGTGGCGTGGCACTCATCCACGAAGACCAGGGCACCGTATTGAGAGGCCAGGCGGCAGATGTCCTGCAGGGGGGCAATGTCACCATCCATGGAGAACACTCCGTCGGTGGCCACCAGGCGTAGCCGGTGCTTCTGCAAGGTACACACAAGCAGGCATGCGTGAGGCAGGGCTGGGCCATGCTACTTCCTGCTTTCTGGGCTACTTAGCACTGGGACAGTCTTTTCTTTTCTTTTTTTGGTCTGGTCGTGGGGCCTGAACTCTGGGCCTGGGCGCTGTCCCTCAACTCTTCAGCTCAAGGCTAGTGCTCTACCACTTGAGCCACAGCGCGCACCACTTCCAGCTTTTTTTCTTATGTGGTGCTAAGGAATCGAACCCAGGGCCTCATGCATGCAAGGCAAGCGCTCTACCACTGAGCCACCTTCCCAGCCCCTGGGAAAGTCTTTTCTTCTGAGCCTCTCTTTTCTAGGCCTCTCTTCTCTGAGCCTCTCTTTTTAGGGGGTCTGAAGTTACACTTAGCCCAGAGTACTAAGAAGGGGCTTGGACCCCCCCCCTTAGGCCAGGTTCTAGAGGGCAAGCTGGAGTAAAGCCAGGTCCTAACGATACATCCACTCAAGTTTTCTTTGTGTGTGTGCGTGTGTGTGTGTGTGTGTGTGTGTGTGTGTGTGTGTGGTGTATGTCAGTGTGAGTACTGGGGCTTGAACTCAGGGTCTAGGCATTGTTCCTTAGCTGCTTCTTTACTCAAGGCTGGTGTTTTAGGGGACTGGGAAGGTGGCTCAGTGGTAGGGTGCTTGCCTTGCATGCATGAGGCCCTGGGTTCGATTCCTCAGCACCACATAAGCAGAAAAAGCTGGAAGTGGGGCTGTGGCTCAAGTGGTAGCAGGCACCATGATTGGCAAAAAAAAAAAAAAAATCAAGGCTGGTGTTTTACCACATGTGCCACAGCTCTACTTGCAGCTTTTGGCTAGTTAATAAGAGATAATTGTCTCCTGGACTTTCCTGCCCACCCTGGCTTTGAACCCTGATCCTCCTCAGATCTCAGGCTTCTAAACTAGCTAGGATGACAGGTGTGAGCCCCCAGCGCCTGGCTTCCCACCCACACCTGAGCCCGGTGCCTACTGCTGGACGGTGCTTGCTTCAGGCAAGCCGGGACATGGGGAACTTGAGCTCTAGACCTGGCCTTTCCACACTTCCAGGCTATTTGCCAATGAGGAGGGAGCCTCTCCGATCCTCATCTTTGGCAGGGGAGCCTGAGGGTAAGCACAGGCTTTGTCCTCAACCCACCTGGGCCTCCTGGAGCTTGACTTCCAGATCAGCCATGTCCAGGTGGCGGTACCGATACTTGTGGGCCTTGCACAATCGAATGCCATCGATGATGGAGGCATGGTTCAGCTCGTCTGACAGGACTGCATCCTCGGGGGTCAGCAGAGCCTGGAGGGAGGCAGTGATGGTCCGGCCACCCCCATGTCCCCTATTAGGAGTTCCTGAGTCCCACATTCCACTGCCAGCCGGGACAGGGAAGCAAGGTGCCACTCGCTTCTACCTGGCTCACCAGCACCCAGCACCGGGCTGGATGGGTGATAGGAGGAAGAGGCATCAGGTAGTCCCAGGTGTTCCCAGCCTTCCTGCGGAGCTAGTTATCCCCAAACTCCCCGGAAGCTGGGCTCCTCACAAGCCCCAGCCTTCTTTGGCCAACTTCACCCAACCTCTATATAGAAAGGATATTGGAGCCTCCAGGGCTGGCACCAGCCTGTGACCAGACTCTCCTGACTGCCTACCCCCAAGCGCTTCAGGGCACCACATACCTCAAAGAAACCGGCATTGGCATCAAAACAGCTGGGGAAAAGGATGGCTGCCTCCCGCTTGTGAAAGCGGGCTAACTTGGCTTCTAGATTCTTGTGGATGGTCTAAAGGAAGTATGTGAGACAGGTAGGTGTTAAAGCCTAGGGTGGTGGCGGGGGGTGGGCAGGGAGGGGAGGGTGCCACAGATGACCAGAAAGTCTGCAGCCTCAGCCACACGTTACCCTAGGCCTCGGGAGTCTGGTAGATCTCCCAGTGAGGCGTTCTGGGCTTGGTCTATGGAATTACAAATGCCAATGGGGAAGATATACCTTCCTAATATCAGGCTAAGTGTTTCTTTTTGGGTTGTACTATAGCCTAAAAGAGGATTACACAAACAACTCTGCACTCATTTGACCCTCTACTTGTTGAAAGCTGTTTGGTCTGGATGAGGTTTTTGTCCCAAAGTGTCTGATAGGAAAGGAGTTCTACCTGTGACGTTTATTGTACCTCATCATTCAGAGAGAAAAGAGGCAACACATGCAACAGGAGTAGGGGCTCCCCCCCTTCTTTTTTTGGTCGTGGGGCTTGAACTCTGGACCTGGGTGCTGTCCCTCAGCTCTTCAGCTCAAGACTAGCGCTTTACCACTTGAGTCACAGCACCACTTCTGGCTTTTTCTTTGATGTGGTGTTGAGGAATCAAACCCAGGACCTCATGCATTCAAAGTAAGCACTCTACCACTGAGCCACCTTCCCAGAGCTTTTTTGTTTTTTTTTTTTTTTGATGCCTGTACTAGGATTTGAACTCAAGGCCTTGCACCTTGCTGGGCTTTTAGCTCAAGGCTTGTACTCTACCATTTGTAAGCCACCAACACACGGCTTGAAGCAGAAGTGTTCTCAGCAAAGCCGGTCTTTCTGCCCCAGCCTTGCTACCCTTGTAGCTCTGGGGCTTAGAATGGGATTAGCTGATCTGGCTAAAGCAGCCCTGCGGACTGTGGGAAGCAGACAGCTGTGTACCTGAGTCCCACAGATGAAGCGAGTAGAGCTAAGGCCAGATCCAAAGTCCTTGAGAGCCTGCACACCTGCCTGGATCACCTCGGGGTGGCTGCTCAGGCCCAGGTAATTGTTGGCACAGAAGTTGAGGATTCCTGGGGTGTAAAAGAGGAATCATGTCAAACCTT